CCCCACAGCCTCGCCACCACTCACCCCACAGCGTCACCTGCGTCACCCCACAGCGTCACGCCACAGCACCACTCCACCGCCGGATACAATATGTGACACTAACTGTGGGTGGCAGGGCGTCAGTGGCTGCCTTTACATACATATGGTCCACTTCGGTGCTCCAGGTCCCGTGTAGCTACTCCATTATAGCCTCCCCACCAAAATATTTCTTACCAACAAAGAGAAAAATAAAATTACACCAATAGCCAATTTTTTCTTTCCAATTACCTCGTGTGTTGAGGCAAACACGAAGTTTTCTGTTGTGCCTCCGACGCTTCGTCCCTGAAAACACACTAAGGGCCGCCAGCCCTTCAGAACATTGGGCCGTCTGTTTTACAACGTATTAGTCAGGTATTGATATTGCAATCTACGCCTAAAGTTAACTTGTAGTTTTGGGTGTATGGGGGGGACTGATGACAGGTTCGTAACTCATCATAAACGGAACACAGTCACGTTTGATGAGTTACCCTTCGAAATTATCTTGATTTCGCTGAAAGGAATTCCGCCGTGTATATATATCTGGAGCTATATGTGGCAAGTGATGCTTTTCTATGGGAAAATGCGAAGAATTTGTAGAGATATCCGTGCACTTATCAAGAGTGTTTTGCTTGACGCAACATCGTGACAAAAGATACTCGCCACTTTATTACGTAGATAACATTATTTATAAATAAAATTTACTTTTCAGTGCTTTAAACTTTGACTCTCTGCAACTGTTTGTAATATTCAGACAAAAAAATGTGCCCATCAGATCATGGTGTATGTTTCTCTTCGTGTCTCTGTGGCCAGCCAGACCTGGCTCCATAGCTCACGTCTCTGTGGCCAGCCAGACCTGGCTCCATAGATCACGTTTCTGTGGCCAGCCAGACCTGGCTCCATAGCTCACGTTTCTGTGGCCAGCCAGACCTGGCTCCATACATCACGTCTCTGTGGCGAGCCAGACCTGGCTCCATACATCACGTCTCTGTGGCCAGCCAGACCTGGCTCCATAGCTCACGTCTCTGTGGCCAGACCTGGCTCCATAGCTCACGTCTCTGTGGCCAGCCAGACTCACTCTCTCTTCATCTTTTCGACACACCAGCGTAACGGAATTACTTAAAGTTATCGTTAATAACCTGTTAGTGGCAAAGCGTGTGTGCTGACCTGTGCGTCCTCATCAGTGTGCTTGTGGGGTCGAGCTTCAGCTCCTAAGCCCCACCTTTTAAACTATTAGCGGTTGAATCCTATGTGTGGTTTTATATTTCTAACATTTAACTCCTTCCTCGTATATGCCATTCATATAATTTACGACTCTTATGGTGAAGATCATTTTCTGAAAGTGACACTCTTGAATGACATTCTTGAGTGACACTCCTGTGTGACACTCCTGTGTGACACTCCTGTGTGACACTCAATTGTGTCTTCAGTTTCCATCTGTCTCTTCCTTTATCACTTCTGGTCCTCGAGCATTTATTGGTCTATCTTTGTGCTTTCCCCCCGGGGTGGTTCCTTGCCGCTCGGGCCAGCCTACTTAAGGCTGGGGTCCCGTATGCTGGGGTCCAAGTTACTGGGGTCCAAGGGAAGGGAACTATCAGGGGAAAGCGCCAAGCCATTACGACTATATAGCACTTGGAAGGGGGTCAGGATAAGGATTTGGGATGGGACGGGGAGGGAAGGAATGATGCCCAACCACTTGAACGGTCGGGGATTAAACGCCGACCTGCATGAAGCGAGACCGTCGCTCTACGGTCCAGTCCAAGTGGTTGGGCATTGCTGGGGTCCAAGTTACGTACTGTGTTCAAACTTCTCCTTTATCCAAGCTCCTGAATACTATCCAGACGGTCCCAGGATTCACCAAGCATTTCAGCACGCACTTACGACTCCTGTGTGTCTTTCAACAATCATCGTGTCCGAAATTACCTTTTTTTGCGGGGGGGGGGGGGGGGGGAGGGCCGTCTATGTGTGTGTGCAATAATGCAAATGGAATGTGGCTGGTTACTCACAGAGACACTCAACAAGAGCAAAGTGCTTAGAGTAATGGGGCTGAATCCAAGCGAATTCCTCAACATTATAGGTCGTGTCTAACTCAACCTGTGAAGAAGAAAATTAGAGTATCGGTTCCAACGATATTTTACTTTGATGTGCGGGTGGTGATGATACGATTCCCTTTAATGGAGAACACATTTATATTTGAGGGAGAAGGAATCACTGATGCAACCATGTGTAAATTAATGTATCTACTTTTTACCCTTAATCCTACGGACGTGGTTTGGGAACTGTCTTTATGAAGCTTCATGTGCAAGGCGATAACAGCCTGTCCTCCTAAGATTTCCCAACGTCAAGAAACTGACGTACTAAAGTGCCCTTATCCTAACTTACCAGAAGACCGAAAACAGAAATCGAGACAGTGTTAATTTCGTGAACAGCTACCATTTTCTAGTATGACGATTTTTGACCTTAGGTGGAGTATACGTCAAAATGCGACGTTCTATAAGGAGGACGGGGTGGCCACAAACAGTACTCGGCCCACAGACGATGCTTAAGCCTCGTAATGTGTCCTTAACACTGTCAAATATGACGTTCCTCACTACACAGCTGCCCGTCACTGCCAAGGGAGGTTCACAGCTCAGTGTAAGCTGCTCGGGAAGAAAATTTGCATGCACAACAATACATACATATACATTCAGCATACACACTATCACACACGGGCAAGAATTATCACAAAAAACTGGTTATTCGATTATGCATAAGTATCCACTTAGGAAAATGAAACGAAAATTGCGAACAAAATTAAAACTCATTTGTGTTTCATTCTACGACTGGAAGCCATACACGTGCTCTCTCATCGTAGCTATGGAGGCAGTCCGTCCTCCAAACATAGACCTAAAAGTGATTCCATGCACCCGCCAAATCCTCCTGTATATGAATGAAAAACGGTTTACACACGACTCACAACTGATGACGTTCGAACACTTCCGGAACAATGCTTCACTGACGAATTTTGTTCGAACCACAACGCTGTAAATGCTTCACCCACGTACTACAAATATAAATAATCACCAACAGAACCTAAACACCTAACCTAACCTACGCCTTATATGCACAATATGCTAATATATTATAATATTAATTTATATTTGAGAAAATTCCTGTTTTGAATGAACACCATGTTAAAATTTATGAATGCGTCTGTGAAGACGACCGCTGGATGTAATGGACTTGAGTCGAGGACGGGTTGGTGGAGGGCCTCAGTTCTATAACCTGTCTCCACTGCCTGGTTTCGATACCACAGTTACAGTCAAATAACGGAGGAGCCGATGTTGACTATTTCGTGAATTTCAAGTATTTGTCACTGCTTGCCACAAGGCTCTGGTCGGAGAGCACCCCGCGTCCTCACGCTACTGTGTCCCACTAGAGAATCCTCCTTTGCGCTAGCCGCCAGGCCCACACCTTACTAGTTCATTTCAATAAACCTCCATATAGATACACTAATCGCAATGTAGCCTCTACCTTAGCTCATCATCTGATTGGTCCGATCATAGGGTCATGTGACGTCATCGGGGGTATGGTGCCAGCAACCTCGAGTCAGTCCCGGGCTATTTTTGTTTTTGTTTTGAATTTTACCTCGAGGGGCGAGTTTGTTGGGCAGCGCCACTCATCCTGCGTGTGGACACACCGCCATAGTGACAGTGTTGGGCAGCGCCACTCATCCTGTGTGTGGACACACCGCCATAGTGACTGTGTTGGGCAGCGCCACTCATCCTGTGTGTGGACACACCGCCATAGCACCATGTATAACACTCACCAATAGGAAGAAAACCCTCTGGGTTGTCCATCTCTGTCATTTGAACCCAGACATAGTTGCGACTCAACCTATCCTCGACTCAAGTCCATTACATCCAGCGGTCGACCCACACAGACGCATACATAAATTTGAACATGCTGTTCATTTAAGATGGGAATTGTCTTAAATATAAAGTAATATTATAATATATTAGCATATATAGTCATAGGTTAGGTTAGGTGTTTAGGTTCTGTTGGCGATTATTTGTATTTGTAGTACGTGGGTGAAGCATTTACAGCGTTGTGGTTCGAACAAACTTCGTCAGTGAAGCACTTGTTCGGGAAGACTTCGAACGAAATCAGTTGTGAGTCGTATGTAAACCGTTTTTCATTCATAAACAGGGAGTTTGGCGAGTGCATGGAATCACTTTTGGGTCTTTGTTTGGAGGACGGGCTGTGGGACTTGCTTAACTGTCTCAAGTGAACAGCTACTCAAACAAGAAGATTAACATTTGTCAACCCTTAAAATCTTACGTTACCTTGCGGGTGAAAAATGAGGTAGTTAAACGTCATTAAATCGCTTCATTCGTATATAGTTGTACATTTATACTTGGGAAGTTTTACACATAAAAGTACCGTACATTAGTTACATAAGTCACAATAACAGCACACTTGACATTGTCATTATCAGAAACTTGATTCGTAACAACTTTTTTTTTATTTAGCAAAGCATTTTTTTTAATTACGGCCTATCCTGACCTACAGTATCTAAATTTATTAGTATTATTGGACATTTGTGTACATTACCCGGGGAAAAACATTCCTGGAAACTCACCGCTTCCAGGATCGCTCGTTAAAACTTTTAGTTGGTTGCTAGGCTTGTTCATGCATTCTCTACATGTATACTCACTCGAACATACATTTTTCATCACAATATCTCCTTCCAGTTGTTCATCATGTCATCATTATTCACTTCAATGAAGATTTTACATATTTTTTTAAATTGCTATTTTTACTGGTTATAATTCTTGTATTATTTCCTAAACACTAACACAAATATGCGTTACCTGACGCCGACAACAACAGTCTGCTTGTGACGCGACTGTAAACACAGTCTGGGTTAGACTGGTGGGTTGAGCCAGCCAGCAGAGGGCGACGACGGGAGCCAGGAACATCAGGGCTGGCTGGCTGCAGACGGAAGCGCCAGTGTTGGTCAAGACTCGGTGGAGGGAGCGTCACCGTCCCTCCGCTTCCTACGCAAGCTCTTCTCCCTTTTTTTACGCGCTTGTAAACAGTCTCTGAGAAGGTTATGTTTGGTAAAAGTGGATTGTGATGCTTCATATGTGTGAGATAGTGTCCGTATTACCCAGTGTAAAGAGTGTCATGCGCCAGTGTTGTGATTACGGTTTTAATAAAAAATTGATATCTTAGGATATATCTGGGTGTCATTGATGATAACATCAAAGGACTCGTGATCCTGTGGACACCAGCGGGAGGTTAAGGAGGGAAGGAATGGAGTGAGAGTGAAGGGAAGGAGCATCCGGACCTCCGTGTGAGGATGAGTGAACAGAGGACAGTGGGCAAGGAGCCTGAGCGGGTGGAGGTGGCCACCGCGATGATGCTCATGCAGACTGAGCAGTGGTGAAGTAGAGCCTCTGAACGGGGCCCCTCCCACTTGACAGCCCTCTACGACGCACGCCCTATTATCCACGCCCACCAGTCATATCTGTAGCGCTAAATAGTATTCACGATATTTCGTCCATCTTGGCGCAGTGAGAAGCGAGACACATCACTTAGTGTGTAACACTGAACAAGTTGGCCATGTAAACAACGCCCTGAAACGTTTGTCAAGTGCGTGATGTTAACAGTAACTGGCAACTTGGCTGTGTGATCCGTTCGCTCTACCCAGTTATTGTTTATAGATGAGAACTCGTTATATAAAAAAAACGTTTCCACGCAACTTCGTTGATTTCTTTATCTTAAACTTAAAAACAACTGCCTTGATTTAGTGTGAATATGGCTGTTAAATAGGAGGGTTTCAACGTCAGAATGAAGCCGCTTGAGCGCGAGGCAGACTCGAGGCTCGCCAAGAGGCAGTAATCCCGGGAATAGTGAACTATAGCTGCTTGAACCAGTTACCGGCAGGTCAACACTGACCATCAACACTGTTGGCGCGCGTCACTTGCACCGGTTTATCTTATCGATGAGTGTGAATATTGGGTGACGTCACACCAGTCACGTGCTTGGAGACGTCGTTCCACGCCTTCCATGCAGTCCACGATATAGGTGAGTTGACGTAACCTGTTGGGCACTGTTATTCCCTTCGTCTTCTCCATCAGTGAGTGCATCGTGGGGAAGGTTTATTGATTTATTTTCGTGTTTTACTTTTGTTTACGATTATTCTGCTATTTGGCTTCTTGTTAATGTAAATGTGTAAAAAACATTCGGAAGTGTTATGATGAATCGTATTTATTTACATGTTTAGTGTTACATAATTATGAACTTGAATGCCTGTGGGGCCTCGTGACCTTGAAGAGGTGTATGACCGCATGGAATTCGTGGACGGTTGATGGAGTGTGTGTGGACTCCTGTGTACACACTGTGGAGTGTGTGTGGACTCCTGTGTACACACTGTGGAGTGTGTGTGGACTCCTGTGTACACACTGTGGAGTGTGTGTGGACTCCTGTGTACACACTGTGGAGTGTGTGTGGACTCCTGTGTACACACTGTGGAGTGTGTGTGGACTCCTGTGTACACACTGTGGAGTGTGTGTGGACTCCTGTGTACACACTGTGGAGTGTGTGTGGACTCCTGTGTACACACTGTGGAGTGTGTGTGGACTCCTGTGTACACACTGTGGAGTGTGTGTGGACTCCTGTGTACACACTGTGGAGTGTGTGTGGACTCCTGTGTACACACTGTGGAGTGTGTGTGGACTCCTGTGTACACACTGTGGAGTGTGTGTGGACTCCTGTGTACACACTGTGGAGTGTGTGTGGACTCCTGTGTACACACTGTGGAGTGTGTGTGGACTCCTGTGTACACACTGTGGAGTGTGTGTGGACTCCTGTGTACACACTGTGGAGTGTGTGTGGACTCCTGTGTACACACTGTGGAGTGTGTGTGGACTCCTGTGTACACACTGTGGAGTGTGTGTGGACTCCTGTGTACACACTGTGGAGTGTGTGTGGACTCCTGTGTACACACTGTGGAGTGTGTGTGGACTCCTGTGTACACACTGTGGAGTGTGTGTGGACTCCTGTGTACACACTGTGGAGTGTGTGTGGACTCCTGTGTACACACTGTGGAGTGTGTGTGGACTCCTGTGTACACACTGTGGAGTGTGTGTGGACTCCTGTGTACACACTGTGGAGTGTGTGTGGACTCCTGTGTACACACTGTGGAGTGTGTGTGGACTCCTGTGTACACACTGTGGAGTGTGTGTGGACTCCTGTGTACACACTGTGGAGTGTGTGTGGACTCCTGTGTACACACTGTGGAGTGTGTGTGGACTCCTGTGTACACACTGTGGAGTGTGTGTGGACTCCTGTGTACACACTGTGGAGTGTGTGTGGACTCCTGTGTACACACTGTGGAGTGTGTGTGGACTCCTGTGTACACACTGTGGAGTGTGTGTGGACTCCTGTGTACACACGGGTGATGCAGTACTCCCTTTAACTGTGTACTCACCTAGTTTTGCTTGCGGGGGTTGAGTTTCGGCTCTTTAGTCCCGCCTCTCAACCATCAATCAACTGTTGTACAGATTCCTGAGCCTGTTGAGCTCTGTTGCTTACATTTGAAACTGTGTATGGAGTCAGCCTCCACCTCCACTGCTTAATGCATGCCATTTATTAACTACTCTTAACATTGAAGAAGTTCTGTGTAACGTCTCTGTGGCTCATTTCGGTTCTCGGTTTCCACCTGTGTCCCCTTGTGCGAGTACCACCCGTGTTAAATAATGTCTTTATTTACCCTGTTTATTCCCCTGAGAATTTTGTATGTGGTTATCAAGTCTTCTCTTACTCTTCTGTCTTCCAGCAACATTAGGTGCAATTCACACAGCATTTCCTTGTAAGTCGTACCTCCCAGTTATGGAACTAGTCTGGAAACATACCTTTGTGCCTTCTCTAACTTCGTCTTGTGCTTTGATAAGGTATAATGGACTCCAGGCTGGAGCTGCATACTCCATGACTATTCTGACATATGTGGTATACAAGGTTCTGAATAATTCATTAAACAAAGTTCTAAAGACAGTTCTGATGTTAGCAAGTCTTGCATATGCCGCTGATGATATCCCTTTTATATGGGCTTCAGGAGACAGGTTCAGTGTGATATCAACTACACCTTTCTCCCTGTCCGTTCCATGGACGATTTTGCCTCCAATTTGGTACCTTGGGTCTGACCTTTCTCCCTCCACCTAGCTTCATTAATTTACATTTTCTTGAATTAAACTCCAGTAGCCATTTGTTGGAACATTCCTTCAGTTTGTCCCGGTCATCTTGTAGCCTCTGGCTGTCTTTCTCTGTCTTACTCCTTCTCATAATTTTAGCATAATCAGCAAACACATAGAGGAACGAGTCTATTCCCTTTGAGAGATCGTGTACACGTGTCAAACAGGATAGGTCCAAGAACCCCCCTGTGTGTGTGGGAGGGAGGGGGGAGGGGCTCTTTGCTACCCCAAATGAGGTGTTGCTGCCGCTATGGTGTGGGTATTGTGTTGTTGCTCTTCATAGTGTAGGTCGCGTTGCTGCCTCTTCTGGTGTGGGTATTACCTCAGCTCCTTGGCCCAACCTCTCCAAGTGTCGCTCATCTTGTGCATTGACTACCGACCTCTTTATTCTTCTCGGCATAATTGCCTTAACAATGATTCAGGTAGTGGTCTCTACTATTTTCCCCCTCATGTGTCTTTCACTTGTTTGCTGTTCTTACACCGAAGAAGTGGTTCCTCACTGTGGCTTGTTTGCTGTGTGGCTCGTCTCGTTAATTAGCATGCCTGGGGGGGCGCATGCTAATGAGATCAACGATGGGAGTGAGATCGGAGCCTTTTTTGTGTGAGCCTAAGTGGGAAGTGTGTGTGTGTGTGTACTACATTGGCATTGTATTTATTTGTTTAGCGTGTGTGTGTACTCGCCTATTTGTACTCACCTATTTGTGCTTGCGGGGGTTGAGCTTTGGCTCTTTGGTCCCGCCTCTCAACTGTCAATCAACTGGTGTACAGGTTCCTGAGCCTACTGGGCTCTATCATATCTACACTTGAAACTGTGTATGGAGTCAGCCTCCACCACATCACTTCCTAGTGTATTCCATCTGTTAACTACTCTGACACTGAAACCGTGTGTGTAAGCCTATACTTGGACGTGTGCGTGCTCGCCGAATTGTGCTTTCCAGGGGTTGAGCTTCGGCTCTTTGGTCCCAAGGGTCACATGTTTTGGGTCATGTGTTCATGTTCTTAAGTTGCGTTAGGCCTACTGATTAATATAAACATGTGTTATCTACTTCGTCGATTCCCTCCTAGTATTTTATATGTCTGGATCATGTCCTCTCATTTCAACCTTGTTAGATTCGTTAAACTTAGTTCCCCCTTATACTATTATGGTAACTCAGTAATGTTTTGGGACCATTTTTGGAAACATCTGAATTTGATTGATCTTCGTTTTGTGTGTTTTTAGAGGAGGGGCTCCATGCAGGTGCTGCACACTCCACCGCTGGTCTGATGTAGGCTATGCTGTTTGTCACACAGCTGGGGTTCTATTCACATTAATTTATGATAAATGTTTAGCATAAGGATAAAGATCTGTGAAAACGAGATGTTAATATTAACAACAAAACTAATAATAATAATAATAATAATATTCTTTATTGAGCAAGTTGATGGCTGAGGGCCAGGTAATAAAAGCCTAAGTCGAGAAAAGGACGAAGGGGAGGGAGAGAGGGAGAGTGTTTGGGAGTGGGAGGTAGGGAGAGGGAGAGAGGGAGAGGGAGGGGTAGGGGAAAGCTGTAGCTGCGTATGAAGGGTTGAAAATAGAGGGAGGAAGAAAGAGGGAATGCATGGGGAGCGAACTGAGGGAGGGAGGCTAGAGGGGACGATTTCTGTGGCGTATGAAAGGATGAAAAGGATTGGTTTGTGGGGGAGTAGTACAGAGCGGAGGGCGTGTGGTTGGGGCCGGGGAGCCTGTATGGGGGCGTGTGTTTGGGGCCGGGGAGCCTGTATGGGGGCGTGTGTTTGGGGCCGGGGAGCCTGTATGGGGTGCGTGTTTGGGGCCGGGGAGCCTGTATGGGGGCGCGTGTTTGGGGCCGGGGAGCCTGTATGGGGGCGTGTGTTTGGGGCCGGGGAGCCTGTATGGGGGCGTGTGTTTGGGGCCGGGGAGCCTGTATGGGGCGTGTGTTTGGGGCCGGGGAGCCTGTATGGGGCGTGTGTTTGGGGCCGGGGAGCCTGTATGGGGCGTGTGTTTGGGGCCGGGGAGCCTGTATGGGGCGTGTGTTTGGGGCCGGGGAGCCTGTATGGGGCGCGTGTTTGGGGCCGGGGAGCCTGTATGGGGCGTGTGTTTGGGGCCGGGGAGCATGTATGGGGGTGAGTGTTTGTGGTGAATGTGTAAACGCAGGTCCATGCTCTATAATCGATATATGATGTATACAACCATTTACCCATGTATACTGAGCCTGTGATATGTATACTAATGAGATACCAGGTGGGAAGTAAACCAGGACCCGTGGACTCGTCGTAAACTGTGTACTCATTTAAACTACAATATAATTTTTATTTGCCGTTCAGGTTTAGAGTAAGACCTGTAGGCCTATATGAGAAAGGGAGGAGGAGGCCGGTAATGACCGGCTGCCAACTGCTTGTTCCAGCCAACCTCTTAGATGAGGCTGGAAGCGATATTTTCCTTAACCTCATGCACCTGGGGGCCCTCGGAGGACGCGTCGCCAGTCGCCTCTCTCTCTCTCGTACTCCTTGTCTTACAAGCATCACTCCTCCGTAGAACGAGATGATGGTGATGCTGGGAGGACCTAAGACGCTTTTCCTCATAAGTGGCTCATTTGTCAGGTGAAACATTTTGATTTGTGAGTGAAAAGCAGTGAGGGAGATGGACCCCTCTGGCCACGGAGGGGGGTGGGGGGGGGGTTGCCACGTCGTCCCAAGAGTAATTTTTGAGTAAACTCAGAAAATCTGGTATTGATTATTCGGGTTAACCCTCGGGCCGTGTTGTGAATTGTTCGTTTACAGTTCATTGGCTCGTTAAATATTCATCCCTGTAGGGGGGGGGGGCAATTACATTTTTAA